AATGTGGAAGTTATCGAGATCCCTGAATAGATGATGAGGGCAATGTTACAGTGACTTTTTGATTTCGCTGTGACGTGTCTATTGATGAGGTAACTGGTTGATGATTAAAGGTAAATCCACAGTGCAGTGGCGTGTGCACAGTCAGTGCATGTGATAGCCACTTCGCCGGCTCAAGCAATGATAAAAATTGTCACACACTTCACATCACACAGCATTGTGAATACACCTTTACGATATTTTTTAACGAATCATTTACGCACGTAAATACCTACGCAGTGTTTTTTTCCTTTACTTTGACATAATAAATACATTAATAAGTATACAAGTGTTTCGCTGATTTATGTTCAAACACATGCTTGATTTACAATTAACATATTCATTACTTGGCTCGTAAATTAACAATAACTATTCATAAGCAGCGTTCACCTTTCCCCTTAGCCTTCTAGGTTTGTTAATAACATTTTAAATTATAATTTTTGCCGTATCCACCCCGATGTGGATTGTTGGCGCGACTCTCCCAATAAGTGGATGTCGGAGCTTTGTCCGCGAACTAACATGCTTCATGCATGATATAATGACTATGTAGTTCTTTGAAGTTACTGAGATAAATAAAAGATGTTTTGTTCAACATTGTTTTAAGGTCAAGTACTAAAGTATGAACAAATGTACAACAGTATCTTTGTCAGGAAAAGTTCGAATATCAAGTTCTACGTGTACTTTTGACTGAACAGCTATCCGCCCAACTCACTCAACTATCCGTCGACAAAAAGTCTGTAGTCTGCGGGTATCTAAAGCTTTATCGTCGTCGTCGTTTCAGCCAAATGACGTCCACTGTTGGACAAAGGCCTCCCTCCCCCAAGGATTTTCACAATGAACGGTCCTGCGCCGCCAGCATCCAGGTTCTTCCCGCGACCTTTGCCAGATCGTCGGTTCGTGGTCGCCACTCGAGAACTTTTCTGCCCCAACGGCCATCGTCTCTTCGAGCTTTATGCAAAATCGAAAATTACTACCAAAATAAGACGCCACAGTGTAGCTTGACGTGTCTTCTTTACATGCCTAAGGCTAATAGCTTTGTGCCACTTTCAACCGCCTTAATTGACTCCATAATTACTCTTCCGCTCTTTCGTTGTTATTTGATATACTCTTCCATAATAAACTCTGCCCTGTCGTTACGTTGGCATCAATCAAATTGAGTTACCATTTTTCATACGTTCCAAAGATGGTGTTCATTAACATTTGATAAATTCATCCTAGGCACTTAAAATCATTTTAAATTTCGCTCAAATAGGTCTTTAGTTGAATAAAAAGCTTATCGAATGGAGGCTTCTTTCTCTTAGTAACATCATTTTTCATTAAATTGGAAAAATTCTTCTATCTACCTGAAATAAATTAGACATTATTCCAGGTGGGTATATAAATAATGTAACTTAAGTTATTGTCCTGTACTTATTAAATCCCACGCAGACGAATCTTCGAGCAGAAGTTATTACGAAATAATCTGAGGTATTTATTTTTAAGTATCTACAAATGTTCAACTAAATAGTTGTCTCAATACGTCTATTGTAACGTCAAAAGGCAGTTTCTAAGATCAGGCGATGACTAATAGAACGCTTAATTGCGTGACTCGAGCATTTCTTAACGCACAACAATGGAGTTCAACGTGTTATAAAAGGATGCTATAAACGCTTGTAGTATTTACATAAATAATTGATGTGGCTCGCATCTTTATCGCCTCCTCAACGTAAGTGCTTTGCGAAACGAACGAAGTTATGTCCACTTATGGGGAATGTGATCACTTCAATTTATTATCCTTTTACGCTCAGAGATACTCTATTGTAAACACTTTTGAGTCATTTCGATGGTCTGCGAAATGAGTTGACGTCTTCATGAAATTTTTGAACTTTTCAACTTGAAAAGGTTGAAAGTTTTAATGAGTCTCTGACAGAGTAATATTAATACATAATTATGCAATGATTACTTGCGTATGAACTCGCGACAACTTTAACTTTATTTAATTTGGATGTGACGAGCTACTAGTTAAATCAGAAGCTGAGAGAGAACCAATTTATTTTTGAATATTACTTATAAACAGTAAAACTTAGTGAAAATCCAAGAAAAAATACTAACATATTTTTGGGTTTCCCACGTGGGAATCGAACCCAGGGATTACGGTTCGAGGATACCTACCATATCTACCGATGGATACGTGGATTTTAAATAAAGAAAATCCTTTTTTCTTCAATAAATAAGATCTTAGGGTTATAATAGTTTCACCAATGTAATTAGTTGAATGAAAGACATCAACGCATCAGTCTTCCAAAATGTTGCAAAATGTGTGTCCTCTAATCGGTATAAAATGGCTTTAAATTTCGTATAGTTTAAAACTAACGATTCAATTTGGTGTACGATCTCATTTACTTACAAATGTATAAAAGTGTAAATCCATAATTTATTGAGACCAATTTGCAAAATGTAGAGTCACATACATGTCGATATTAATTTAATAGCTCCTAATTGAACGTCGTTCGATGTTAATAAGAGACGAAATAAAACTTACCCGGCGAGTTCACAACAAAAGTTCACAGCTATGACTCCGCAAAACTCCGCAGCGAATCCAATTAAGCCATTCAAAAACAAGCTAACGTCTTACTTTGTTTTTGACACTTGAATGCTCCGCGGCCCTCAGCATGCGTCGAACTTCGACTCCGCTCCCCTATTTACCCCGCCTCATATTTCCGGGTCCGTTATCGACAAAGAAACCCCTCATATTGAATCAAGAATAATCATAAACCCCCTAAAGACCCGATTTGTTTCCACGAAAGGCCTTTAATACTTTGATACGTCCTTCGTTATTATTTTTTGTTCCCGTAAAATAGCGAGGTCCTATCTCAGCCGGAGATTAAATTTCGACTTCCTTCGACGTTGATTGATTTAGGTCTATCTTTTAGATTCTTTAACAGCTGACTAATTGGATCCTTGAAAATGACACCTAATTGGTTTGGTGCTTAGTCAATTTCGGTTAATGTGTAATAAATTCTTATGAACCAACACGTGTTGATTAGAATGATGATTGCAGATAATGGTTATATGAATGTAACATTCTAGGAAGTACACTCATCATGTGAGGTGTCATAATGGAAATTCAAAAACCTTTGTTCGGTCGACGACGCCCACAAAATAAAAAGCGGCATATTGCAGCGGCAAAATATTGCGACCGTTGAGTACAGCGGCGCAACTCGCAGCTATGAAAACCTCGTGCCTCAGCACAACAGTTGACTCTAAACACACTCACACATGCACCACTACTACAATAAACCGGGAGGGGGCCGGGTGAGGCGAGGGGTGACTGTGACGATGCAGTTTGCACCGCGGCCTCCTCCAACCTTCACCAACTTGCGCCCGTGTTCTTGGGAATCGTTTTAAATTCAAGAACCGCAGAACACTCCGCAAACAACAACACACCCTCTACTCCCAGACTTACGAGCCAAAATCGTAACAACACCGTATTATAAGTCGTTTCGAAAACGGAATACACCGTCACCACAACATAAGATTTAAAACTCTAAACGTACGACCGAAAGTCGAGAATCCCGTAAATAATGCAAGAATGGCAGCAGTCCTTGGTGTGAGTGCGGAGGTGAGAAATACATTAGCGGTACCGTTTTCTATTGGTCGTTGCTCCTGTGTTGATATTAAGCAGTCCACGTGGACTGCTCCGGCGGTTGCTTGTCTCGTTTTTTTCGGCGGGTGGTTCTCTGTCCGTCCCGTTCTAATCTACAACGAAACGTGGAATGTCATGTCCGGAGTTGTTCAGAAAGTCGTGAGCGTGCATCGTGCTTCGAACTTGCTATTCGCTGGATAACGGCGCATGTTCGGCGAGTTGCCACTCTACATAGAGCTTAAATCGTTACGCGTTTAGGACACGTTTCGATTGTAACTGAAGGGTGGTTGTAATAATTTTTGAATGCGTAATATTGATAAGCATTTTTAAGTCAATTAAGGTTGTAAGCTAAAAGCGGTTGTTGCTACATTTAAATTATCGGTCGGCATTCAAATAACGCCATTTTTTTCGTGTCGGCACGAATTTATTTATAGTTATATGTTATGGTGGGTATAATAACGCGGCGTGGGCGATACTATTACGGCGCATATCGAATACGGAGCTATTCATTCACTCGGTCACGGATATCGGCTTAGTTTAGTAGCGGGCTGGATTAATAAATTTTGTTGAATATCGCGTTAGGTCATTTGCTACGAAGTAGTCGGTTATTCAAAATAGGTACTCGTTCATTAAATTGTCAGTTTCTTGAACGCTTAGCTAGTTTTTGGCTAGGATTGTAAGATCCTACCTATAAAATGAGGGTATAGGTAGGCCTACTGTAAAAATAAATAATATGCTACGAAATCTTACACGTAAAAGTTATCCGGTAAGATAGTGAAGTTATGGAACAAATATATACAGCACAGTACTCAGTTAGAGTTAATAAAAATATTTAATTAGGTTTTTTTTAACTAAAATACAAATATTTTAGGGAAATTATTGTAAGTATAAAAAAAATTTAGAGTGGCGACGAACTTTTCTGTAGTACTGCGACTGGTACTATGGACGACATCTAGCGATATTTTCATAGGACTACGTTCTATGGCGATGAATACTAGCCTGATCAAATTCTACGCCTTTGCTTGCAAAATGAATTGTCCGAATCAGACCAAAGTTAACATTTAGTAAAATGATACTACCTTTAAGTAAAATTATTTGCATATTGTGTCTTGTTGAATCCTATAAAAGACTATAGCATAGCTAGAAACAAATATTTTGTATCTAAGATGAATGATGGTTACTAGTTAGGTTTAATAATGTACGCGGATCGAATTCGGACTGCAGCCTTATGTCATTTTGTCTGTCAGTGTCACAGCAAGCTGCTTGCCTCTAATCCATATCTGTGCTGCTTGCTGTGACACTGACAGACAAAATGACATAAGCAATAATGGCAAGCAACTGTCAGTACTGTCACTCAACCACTGTCGTCGTCTTGTGATATTTTTGAGGAAATTTGTTATTGTTTATTTATTTACAATAAGAAACAGAGGTGAATTCAAAAACGTATTGTGGCAAATAATGGCACCGGGCATTATTTTATTGTTTAGTGGTAAAAGAAAATCAGGAAAAGACTTTTTAACCGATCATTTACAACAAGAGTAAGTAGTGTTTATACGATGTAAAATAGGCATAATACCTACCTATTTTATATTTTCCCTGACTAACTGATGAAGCTATATTTTTCTTTTGCTTTTCTTACTTTGGTTGGGGGAGTTGAGGTACCTACAAAATTACTTAAAATATTTTAAGTACAAATTTTGTAAATCTTTACATTTTCATTTTAGGCTAAAAGAAAAATGTGAAATTATTAAAATATCAGCACCAATCAAAAGTCACTGGGCGAAAGAGAAAAATCTAAATTTGGATGAACTCCTGAGCCACAGTGAATACAAAGAGCAGTATAGATTAGAGATGATAAGATGGAGCGATAGTATGAGAGAAAAAGACTATGGCTACTTTTGTAGGGAAGCTTGTAGTAATGGTAATTAGACGAATATATCAATACGCTAATGAAAATATTTGTCCTTTGCTTTGATGATTCTTTGATTAATCATTAAAATGATTTGAATTTGTCAGTAAGTCTTAAAGAAATTATCAAACATTTTCTATTAATTACAGCTTCTGAAAAACCTATATGGATTGTCAGCGACATAAGAAGAAAGAACGACATACGCTGGTTTAAAGAAACATACAAAGACCTTATCAAAACTATCAGGATTACAGCAGATTTAGAAACTCGAATTAAAAGAGGATTCCAGTTCAAAGACGGAGTGGACAATGTGGCTTCAGAATGTGATTTAGATGATTATGATCAGTGGGATTTAGTTATAAATAATGGTGAAGGGAATGTTTCTTTGCAGGAACAACTGAATTGCATAAAACAACTATTGCCAATTTTATGATCAAATTATTTATCATGGTAGCTAGATTTGTTTTTGAAATTAAATATACTTTTATTTATTAGGAATCTCCAAAGAGAATTGAAGGAGCCTTGTCCCGTGGCAGGTTAAGCTGTTTTATTTTGTATTATAATTATTTTTATATGTAGTTAGTTATTGAAATGTTTTATTATATTTAATTTGTATTAATGGGTCCAATAAATGAATGTTGATTTTTACACTTAAGGAAATGCATGAAAATAAATTAATTATTTTTTGTATTTGTACTTTTTTCTTTCCCTAAGTATTTTTAGCCACAAATCGAGACCTTTGTTGATGCCTGGATGGAAGCTTAACAATGCAACTCCATACTGCGCCACTAGATGGCATCTGTGTTAGGTTGTCTCAGACCAAGACATGAATCTCCCTATTTNGGGTGCTACGAAAGAAATATGACAGTGAAAATAATGTCCGTTTTCGTGCGCGTTTAGTGGCAAAGGGATTTTCACAAGTTGAAGGTATGGACTATACTGATACTTTTTCCCCTGTAGTGAGGCATACTACCTTAAGGCTATTGTTCGCTCTCTCTGTTCAAATGGGTCTAGATATACAGCACCTAGACGTAACAGCTGCTTTCCTGAATGGTTCTCTTGAAGAGACAATTTTTATGAAAATACCAGATGGGTATTCTGATGTAACGCATAGTGGTCAAGTTCTTAAACTAAAGAAAGCTATCTATGGCTTGAAACAATCTTCAAGACAATGGTACAGGAAAGTGGATGATTGTTTATTAAAAAATGGTTATGTTAAATCTGAATATGAACCATGTATGTACATTAAAAGGTCAAACAAACAGATTGTTATAGTGACATTGTACGTGGATGACTTTTTTATTTTCACAAATAATATGAAGGAAACCCAACTTTTAAAAGACATGTTAGCTGCTAATTTTAAAATCAAAGATTTGGGTGAAATAAAGAAGTGCCTTGGTGTTAATGTAAATGTTGATAAATGTAACAAAACTATATCTCTTGATCAGAAGGACTATATTGATAAAATTTTGCAGAAATTCAATATGAAAAATTGTAAAACAGTTCAGACTCCGATGGAGACTAAGTTGAATGTATCTGAAAATGATAGTAGTGTTGGTAATTTTCCTTACCAGCAAATAATAGGTTGCCTAATGTATTTGGCAGTGCTCACCAGGCCAGACATTTCGTTTGCGGTAGGATTTTTGAGCCAATTTAATAATTGTTACACGACTGAACATTGTGCCTATGTTAAGCGAGTACTTAAATATTTGAAAAAGACTAGAGATTTTGGTCTTGTATATTCTGCTAATGGAAATACAATGTTAGAGGGCTATGTTGATGCTGACTGGGGTGGCAATATCATTGATAGACGTTCATATACTGGATTCTGCTTTACTCTTTCAGGCTGTATAGTTTCATGGGAGTGTAAGAAACAGCAAACCATAGCTTTATCAAGTAGCGAGGCCGAATATATGGCAATAACTGAAGCTTGTAAAGAATCAATTTATTTAAAGAATTTACAGTATGAGATTACAGGAACAATGTATAGTATTGATCTTTATAATGATAACCAAAGTGCGCAAAAGTTAGCATATAATCCAGTTTTTCACAAAAGGACCAAACATATCGACATCAGGTATCATTTTTGTAGAGATTGTGTGGCAAATAAAGTTATTAACTTAATGTATATGTCAACAGCTGAGATGCCTGCAGATTTGTTGACCAAGGCCTTATGTACTGCAAAACATTATAGATTTCTAAACAAATTAGGTATTCAAAATGTTAATTAATTATTGTTTAGATATAGTGGCGGTGTTGAAATGATATCGTAAAACAATAATGATGTTTAATAATCTGTACTAAGGAAGTACTAGTAGCGCCATCTTATGTCAATGTGATTTGATGAAATAAAACTTCAGTTCGTTTCCTGCAAGCATTCAAGTCGTTTTATTATAGTAATTAACAGCACAAGTAACAAATAATTAATTAGAATAAAGTAGCAGTAGAAGAAGTGTAAAGTAGCATTGTTTTTAATACATATCCTGCGATGTACTCTTAAGAGTTAAAACCATGGTCCCTGTATGTGGTGCACTCATACCGATCCCAAGGAACCGTACTTACTCATAACAATAAGACACACACTGATGCATGTATTCATGCACTTGACAAATTTATGTCTTGAAACGCTGGTAGGGTAAAAACAATAACGAGATTTGACGATTTGTAAGAATTAATTTATTTTAAAAAGGTAAATAAAGATGTTTTTGGTTTTGTATTTAACAAATTATTAGTTTTATCGGAATTAATTAATTTTCGAATCGAGTCACACGATATCATTCGATGACTTTGCAAATGCAGTACGATGATACGATTACTTTTACGTTGCGGCAATCACTAAAATTCGCTAAAATGACACTAATGACGTTTAAAAAGTGGCACGCTCGGCTTCATACAATTTTTGACACATGCTGCATCTATCCATATCTGTGAGCAATGGTATATTCATCATTCAGCTTGTAAATTGTGTTTGCCTGATTTTCTTTTATACTTATTTTCTCGAGTCCAGTAGCAAAGGCATCTATCATTCAGCCTATAAAGGTGTTGCCAACTTCACCTGATCACCTGAGCATTGTCGCGGCGCAGGCGCGGGCCGGCCATGTGGTCGTTCTCGAAAGCGCCGAAGAACTTCGTTGGGTCGTCCTTGCCGTACGGGTCAGCGTGGAGAGTCCGGTTACCTGAGGACAACGAAGCATGTAGAGATCTTAACAAGGATTGTTCTAAGGAATCACCAAGGCGGGGCAGAGCGGAGAAGTGTCGGGTGAAGGATTTGTTCTATACAGTCGTGACAACTTTAATTTCAAAATAGCAAAGTAACTGCACACGAAATAGCGGTGGAACAAAGATAGTTCGGAAATCTGTCCCATTTGTAACTTTGGCAGCGCCTGTAGAGAATGTAGCGTGCTGAAGCGAAAGCTTGCCTTAGCTTCGAAATTAGTCGCTGAAAAGTAGATGGCGTTCGTATATTACGACATGGTAAATAAATTAAAAAAATAATAATTAGCTCGGCGCGGATAGAGGCTTCCTTTGCGCTTCCAGAAATTATTTCCCTTAGCCTTTTACTTTCGTTCGTTCGTTCGTCAGCCAAATGACGTCCACTGCTGGAAAGGCCACGAAGGCCTCCTCCAAGGTTTTCCACAATGCACGGTCCTGCGCTGCCTTTTACTTTACTTTCCATTAAATCACTCACATTTCAGTGGACTTCAAGGGTGATGGTTCAAACGATGAAACATGTAAGTAGGTAATCTTTATTGACGAAGTAAATAAAAGTTATTCAGGGAACGTTACTCATAATATGTGACTAATATTCCAACACAGCTGATTGCACAAAACTATTGTGTTCCTTCTTACTTACTTACTGAAAGAAAACAAAAAAAGGAATCTCCCGTCATATCCGGTACACTTAGGTAAACTTATTTTTACTTTCAAGTTGCGATTTACCTAATACAGGGTATCGTTTTAAACGCGTAGGTTAGTAACCTATACTACCTACAATCTAAGTACATGGTTATAACAGAGGGACATGAAACTAATGTGAGATATTATGAATTAGGAGCATCCATAGGCTGCTGACATGGCTCAATGAGTGTTTTCGCGATTGAAAAATCCGCCAGATGGCAATACGTAGACGGGAGGTCCAAATGCTGCATGATTGGTGGATTTTGACATATCTGTCAATGTCATGTCAAAAATAACCAATCATGTAGCATTTGGACCTCCCGTCTACGTATTGCCATCTGGCGGATTTTTTAATCGCGAAAACCCTCGTTGGACCGAAGCTGCTAAGCCTTCCGAGAGCACGGAATCATTTATACCTATCACCTACCTACTTAAGAATAGGTATAATTTAATAACAACTATGGTTGCATTTTCGGTGTAGATAGTCGCTTCTTATCTATCCCTCTAAAAAGGTAAAATTATCTCTCTCAAGACACCATATTATAAATATACTGGTTAACTTCTCCAATAAGCCTTACCTAAATGCAGCACTCCATAGAACTGGTGGTCCTCCCCAATGTATCCCTCCGCTGATCCCGCCGCAGGGTCCTCCACCGGGAAACCGTACGCCATCGTGACGTCAGCCAGCGAGAAGGCTCGAATGACGTTGTCTTCTTCTGGTTCAGGGTCCAGGAAGAGTGCGGAGTGATGCGAGGTGAGAGGCGATGTGCCTGAAAGAAGTCATTTGTTGAATTACATAAGTAGTCATTCCATTTTGCGAATACACCATCGCGCATCATGCAGCGTGCGAAGTCCACCTACAACATAGACCGACGACCTCATGGAGGTAGCAGGAACACGCTGGAACTGCCAATCGAGCGATATGAAAATCATTGGGGGATGCCTGTGTTCAGTAGTGGACGTCCTGTGGCTGAAATGACGATGATGATGAATGAATACCTACACCATACGGTTGATGGGAGAGTCATTGAACATCCAACCAGATCACAATTTATTCAGGGGCAGAGGTTCCTCCTTGGGTTGGGGTCATGGCATAGTGTGTTGCAAGCTCATCTTCCAAGTGAATTATTTAAATGTTTTAATCTTAAATTTTGCAAAATGGAAGTAATGTAAGTAGTTTGTTATTTTTCTATCTTTATGAGTGTAGTGTATAGACATTTGTCTCGAGCGCATACGTCACAGCCTAGTCGGCGGTGGGGGCATTCGGCGTCCGACCGTGGTGCGGGCAGGTCGTGCTGTGTGCGTAGGCGAGCCAAATAATAATCTAATGGCGGAGATAAAGGTGTACAATACAATGGCGACGAGGATTAAAAAGGAGTGTAAAAAAAAAAAATTATTATTTTAATTAACATTTTTATTTCTACATACTATTGTACCAGTGATTTAACGGAAAGGTAAGTGTGAGGAAAGTGAGGATTGATATTATCATAGTACGGGAGATTATTTTTAGCACAAAGGCTACGGCTGTGACCATTATAATATAAATGTAGATGTTTTTTCAGACAGCACCAGCTTCTGCACTACTTCTTGCACTAACATCTCACCTTTTCCAGGCAAGCTTCGGCAGCTACGGGTAATTGGTCCATGTAGGCTCCATGATGCTATCGATTCTGGTCCACCCCCAACCATTCAGGTAAAGGGAAGCCTGAGTCAGTTGCTTGCAACGCGAACCCCTTGAACCAACTAAATTTTAAATAACTTAAAAAAATCATAAGGACATGATTA